AGCCATCTGGACGTGCTCTTAAGACTTACATGTTCATTATGAAAAAACAACAGTTACCTATTGTCCAAAGGGGCACCAAGAAGCTCATAAAGAACGCAAATCCGTCGGGATATCCGAAGACATAATGTCAATAGAGACGGAGAAACCCACGATTTTCAAGGTGACCAAATGCATATTTTGCGTCGTTCTTGGATTCTACGGGTGTAGCCGCTGGAATAGCGATAACAATGGCAAAGAACGAACTAGAAAGACTTCATGAGAAGGAAGTCTTCACCGAAAGAGAGGGGAGCTGACGCTATATTGAGCAAGACGCGAAAGAGCTCGATGACCTTTTGCGAGACTGGCCATCATTTGAAGTTCTCGAAGCCTGTGGCGTAGTAGGTGCAACACCTATTCTAGCGTATGCGGCGTGGACTACGGTGTACATGGCCTCAATCTGAGCATTGGATGCGGTTCGGACTCCAGGGGTTGCGATGTCGCGCGTAGTGGAAGGGGTAATGTCTTTCTTGGGTGTAAACGGGATGTATACGAGGCAAGCGGTAGAGTGCACATACGTTGATTCGATTGTCCAGGCCTGGAAACTCCCCTCCTCCCGACGGTCGACGCGCTTGATGTAGTCAAAGTGACCTCGCCTACCGATTGACAATCAGAAAGACATACACGCGACGTCAGGCGTATAGTATACGCACCTAAGAGCCTTTTCACCCCCTACATACGCTTTCCTGTTCCACATCAATCCTATCCACTAATCATCTCAAATCGACGAATTTACTTCAGAACGGTACGCAGTTTCATACTTGATGATTTATCGCAACTGAGTTCGAACATACCTTCAGTACTACGGCTAGGAGAACAATAAATTAAACACCTACATTTTGTATTGTAGCAAGTCATAGTCAAACACTGTACACAAAGAACTTCAAGAGAAGAAAGAGTTGAACTAACCAGCATGGACAGATCACGCGTGTTTTTGATGCCTACATCGTCAATTGCGACAAGAAATGCCGGAGAGTAATTCATTGATTTACTAACACTGGCTTGCTTTATCGGAATTCGCCGGGACGACAAGTTGACACCTCGCTGTACTTATTCTGCCTTTTTCTTGCTGATATTTGATCCCCCTGATTGTCTGAGGCTCCAGCTAAAGATGGCTTCGTGCTCGAACGTGGGGCCAAGGAATGTCCTTTGTGAGACCTGCATGTGACGATGATGCTCATCACCGGGCGCCTGGAGGTGCACCCCGTTAGAGGAAGTGTTAGTGCCAGAAGCTGGTCATATGTTGTGACCACCAGAAATACACTGTACAGCCCTCTTGTGGGATCATAGAACCAGTATTTAATTGGGTACGGCCCATATAATGTGCAGTATTGGCGCTTGCTCGATAAATCCGTCGCCATGCCCTACGTATCCCTCGATGAGCCATCAGATCCAATGCCAATATCACCGTCGCCCAGTCGCAGCCAGGACTATTACTGGGAGAACATCGTTCTACAAGTAACTCCGTTTTCAGACATTGATGATAAAGATGTCATTCATGAGGACTAGGTCGAAGACACCCTTTTCCGTGTACCAAAGCACCATTTGGTCGGAAAATCAGAGGCGTTTGATTCGATGCTATCCCTGCCTCAAGGTGGCAGTGAACCCGAGGGTGTCACCGACGATAGGCCCATTCAGCTAGCGGGTATCAAGAAAATAGATTTTGAACGACTGCTTCAGGTTCTTCATCCAATGTAAGGACCCAATCTTCGAGTGCAAGGCATGCTGACCAAAGTGCAACAGAGATACCACGAAACAGCCTGAGTTGTCCGTAAACGGCTGGGTGTCTGTTCTCGCACTTTCCAGCTTATGGCGGATGACTGTGCGGAAAACTGCCATCGAGCGTTTGACGAGCAGTTTATCGGAGATATCTCCTGCGGATAGGATCGTTCTTGGCAGAAAATATTCGGTCGGGCAATGGATTTCTTCCGGATGTGAGGAACTCGCAACTCGTGTAGAAGTGGTGTCCCTCGAAGAGGGGGAAAAGGTCGGCTTGAGCACAGCACTGAGGCTTGGACACATACGAGAGTCAAATTTCACGGATGGTAATCAACAAACCCAAGGTGCATGTAGTTATTGTGGTTATTACCGTTGCGGGTGTAGCGGAAATTATTTGTCACGACCACCATTCAACTTGCATGTGGTGAAGGGGAAGGTGGGGAGACTTTTCGAAGCCGAGTTGAAGGACGTCGAGGCTGAAGGAGCCGGGTTTGAGTGATATATAATATATCAGAGATGATAAAGTCGTTACATTTTGTGCAATGAAGCCCTCTTGAATGTTGATTGCTTCGATTTAGCGCGTAATGAACCATGCAACCGTAAGGTGCCTGCTAGTGAGTTTCATCGTGCGACCATGTTGGCTGGTTGACATCGGATAAGGTACTAGAGTGATTTCAATAAGCAGGCCATGTAATGGAAAGCTATTTCAGTTGAGAACACAATCAGAGACGTAGAGCATCTGCCCGGGTTTAGGATAAAAGCATTCAACAATACCGTCAGAAACGACAATGTTGACGACGAAAAAGTTGACCGAAAGACTTGGACGGGAATCACGGGCCGAAAAGCTGACATGATTAAGGATTCTCAATGAGCTACCGAGGTAGATTAGTTTGCGCTTATTTACCTGAGCTGTATCAGCAGAGGTGGCCAATAAATCCAGTTTTCCAGTTTTCTCACGCCATCAACGCGTCCCACCTGAACCATCATCGTCTTTAGTGTCCACAGGTGCTCACACGCTCACCCGCGTCTTACTCATGTTTGGCAAAAGTACCCTCATGACACCCATTCCTCCAGAACTTGTGTTAGAAATCCTGACATACAAAATTGGAGCCGTGATGACCTTAGGACATGCTTTCTTGTCTGTCGTGCTTGGTGTCAGCTTGCCCAACCCTTTATCTTTTCCGAATTATCCCTGTCCCTCGAATCCCATTGCCACCCTTGGAACCGAAAATTTTCCATACATCCTCACCTCGCCCAGTACGTCACTCGCCTGAACATATGGGGCGGAAACTGGGGGAAAATATATTCTGCATCGTTTGTCGAAGTCCAACCTCCACTTCTCGAAGGCCCTGCGACATTGAAGCTCATACGCCAGCTACCAAATATCAAGTATCTGAAAATCTATGATTTTTTCTTACCAAGTGAGAGGGAGATAGAGGTTCTATGTCATTTTACACGGCTGGAGTGGCTGGAAATGCACGACGTGATTTTCAGCCAACCAGCGGATCTGTTGGATCTCATGTCGCAATCGGTCAACCTGAGGGGCCTCCATATCACGGACATGGAGGTCAGAAGTCCTACCGGAGAACCGATTGGTCCTTCACTTCATAATCACGTCGACGCCGTTCCGAAACGACTAAGGAATTTGAAGTTCCAAGACCCCACTGAAAGCCCGTATATCGTCTCTTGGCTTTTGGGAGGAGCCTTTAATCTTGGTGATCTCATCGACCTCACCTTATCTTGGGCATCATTCCAGACAAAACGCGATCCTATGGGACCTCAATCTTTTGCCTGCATCGATTCTTTTGTCAATTCGGTCGGTGCAGGGATCAAACGTCTACGACTCAATATTGAAACATGGGAGCATACCTCGGAAGTGCACGTCAATTATATGCTAGGTGAGCGTATTGATTCTTTTGCACAATCGCCTTGTGCTCAATATGTATGCCGAACACTTCATCTCGAAGAGAGCGTTGAGCAGCTTTATAGCGCTTGATACCCTGGATATCCACTCAATAAATCGTTATATCAACAATGATGCAGGTTATTTAGTTGACATCCAACGTCTTCTCCACCACGTCACGCTTCCAAACCTTCGAAAAATATGCATCACGACGCGGTTCACCCTGAACACTGCCGACGATCTCCCATCCTACAAAGAGCTTCCTTTCTGGGCTAGTCTCGATAGACTTCTCGCCAGCTCACAGTTTCCGTCTCTTCAACAACTCCTGTTGTTCATCGAGGTGAAAAATATCCATTGGGATGCCCACAAATTCGGGCTGAGGTTCGAAGACTCTGATTCCGATGATGAAGATTCTCTCAGTGTTGTTATCCCTCCGCTGGTTACCAGACATCCGTGGCCAGAGCATCCCCCGACGGTGGACGATGTTACCGCCATGATCACAGAGCAAATGCCGACATTGGCGTCTCGGGGAAGTTTGCTGTTTCGTTCTGCTAAGATGGGCCGATTCTAATGTATCAGGGAGGTGCATTTAGAAGAAGCGCTTCTATTCGATTCTATCAGATTGTTTTCTTTGAATGTGATATCCATAAACGGACTGTATACAATCGAAGGGTCAATTCTTGATGCCGGTAACATATAATGATTTCTCCCATGGACCCTACGTTATTTGATGATGTGATAAGGACGAAGCCGGCAAGGCTGTTGACACGGGGCAGGGATAGGCGCCGTCGCCTATGCACGAGGCAGTTCATTGATTCTGTCTTGAACATGAACATGCAAGACAAGAAAGTTGAACAAACTTTACCGACCGAGGCATGTGATGCCGTATCGGACTCGTCCCATCCTCCCACAAATATGCCTCCTCCAATGCAGACCCAAATGGCTTGGCAGCCCAATTACTATGTAAGTTCAGCGTTCTAGCGTCTTATCAGAGTCTTCATAGGTTTTTTTTTTCCTTTCAGTATATGGGTGACCAGCCATATATGTACCCTTGGTATGCGATGCCTCAGCAGCATCAGATGCCGCCTCAACAACCCCAGCATCATCCGCCTCCTCCCGGTGAGCATGGCCCTCCCCATAATGGGATACCCGTTTCTCCTCGTAACCACTCTCCTCCTCTTCAAGGACCTGGAACTCCGACCCCCGCCCACGCAGCACCGGCTACACATCCTCCTCATCTCCCTCCCACTATGTCACACTCTTCCTCTGGAAGTATCGGCGGTTTGTCGTCGCCGCCTCCCACACCCTCCTCCGCCTCGGTGTCCGGTACTGGTCGGTTAAACACCAACACCAACACGTTTGTATCCGGTCAACGATCGAGTGCTCGAATTTCACTGAAAAATGCAGACGGGACGGAAATCAACTTGACAAATCTTAGTAACCAGAAACTCAGTCCCGCTTTGTCTGGCGTTACGCTTTCGCCGGTCGTGTCGCCCGCGTATGGCAGCCCTAATCGACGGTCTATTGTACGCACGGAGCTCGAAGAGGAGCGGTCAAAACGCCTAGCAGGTGAACAGGAGAAGGAGCAGGCCAAAGCCAAGGCAGAGGCAGATTCCAAAGCCAAGAAGGAGAGGGAGGAGAAGGAGCGTAGGGAGAAGGAAGAGAAGGAGAAGGAGGAGAAGGAAGCGAAAGAGCCCATGGAGAAAGAGGAGAAGGAGAGGTTGGAGAACGGAGCGAGGGAGAAGAAGGAGCGAGAGGAGAAGGAGGATAAAGAGAAACAGGAACGAGAAGCGACTGAGAAGAAGCGGCTAGAGGAGGAGGCCGCTGAAAAGGAGCGGTTGAAGAAGGAGGAAGAGGAGAAAGAAAAGGAGCGTCTCCGACTAGAGGAGGAGCGGAGGAAAGCTGAGGAGGAGGCTGAACGGAAACGGTTGCAACAGGAACAGGAGGAGAAGGAGAAGGAGAAGGAGAAGCACACATCAGCTATGGAGGAGGCGGTATGTGTCAGAAACAAGAACTTTTACTGGGAAAACAGTATCTTCTTGGTTGGTGTCACTTCCACAGTTGTCATTTAATTTAGCTGATAAGAGTTGTTGAAGGTTGAAGATGAGCTCTTCTGTGCGCCGAGATATCAGTTCATCAAACAATCAGAGACGTTCAGAGCCATGTTCACATTGCCCCAGGCAGATGCTAATGCAGTTGAAGGCAATACCGATGACAGGCCCATTCGTTTACACGGCGTCAGCAAAATTGATTTCGAGCGACTGTTGAATTTCATGTACCATCTGTATGGTTTCCGCTGCTCGATTATACGATTGATCTCATGCATGTCTAGGGACATTCCTTCTGTGTCGACAAGGCTGCTGGAGGAATGGATCTCGATCTTGAAGCTCTCTACGATGTGGGTAATGACAGAGATACGCAACAGTGCTATCTTTCATATCATCGAGCGCCATCAGGAGGTAGAAGTGGTAGAGCGGATCACCTTGGGAAGAAGTTGTGACGTCCCAGCGTTGGTGAGGTCTGGACTCGTCACTCTGGTCAACCAAGCCGGAGGAGTTTCTGAGCGGCAAGCAGTGCTTCTTGGTTGGGAAACGGCGCTACGCATCCAGTGGGCACGGGACAAATTGATAGCGTTGCAAGGTTACTCATGCACTTTTGACGAAGATCAAGTATGCACTGTAGCGACGAGCGTGTTCTGCGAGGAGTCAAGGTCAATGTCTTGTGGTGGATTCCAACCGAGTAGAGAACAAGGCAAATTCTCCCAAGTTGGAGCCGATGGATGGGCGATTGCTGGTGGTAACTCTGCTCCACGACCTCCTCCCAAGGCCGGCGATCTGTCCAAGTTTAGTCAAATCAGCAGCAAGGGCTCACCTCTCACCTTTGGTCCTCAGAGCAGCATTTACGCCGGAAAGAAAGGCAAGCGAGAGTCTGTCCAGCCAACGAATTCTGCTTCAAACATGTTTTCCATGCTTAATGACGACTCTACTCCAGAAGCCACGCCCAAAGGTAAAAATCACGGGAATGGCATGAGTGGTCATGGATCTGCAGCAGCTCTCGCTCAATCGATGCTTGAACCCGTTGCTCCATTACAGCAGAGCGCCAATCGTTGGGACAGGCGCGTGCTTAGTTCAAACGATCCGGACTCTCCCGATGTCGTTGACCGTAAGGTCAAGGGTCTTCTGAACAAGCTCACAATGGAGAAATTTGACTCCATTTCTGATCAGATCATCGCATGGGCGAACAAGTCCGAGAAGGAAAAAGACGGCCGCACTCTCATTCAAGTCATTCGGCTCGTCTTTGAGAAAGCCACCGATGAAGCTACATGGTCCGAGATGTATGCTCGTCTCTGTCGGAAAATGATGGAGCAAATCAGTGCAAAGGTCCAGGATGACGGTACCAAGAATTCTGAAGGGAAACCCATTGCTGGCGGTCAGTTGTTCCGGAAATATCTTCTCAACAGGTGTCAGGAAGATTTCGAGCGAGGGTGGGTGGCGAAAGAAGCTACTGCTGCAGCCGCAGCTTCCAAGGCTATCGAGGATCAAGCTGCCAAGGCTGCCGCCGGGAAGAAGGGCGACGGCGAGGAGGAGATCGCACTCTATTTTGAAGAGTATTACGCCGCGCAGAAAGCGAAACGTCAAGGTCTCGGTTTGATCAAATTCATCGGTGAATTGTTCAAGCTGCAGATGTTGACGGAGCGTATCATGCACGAGTGTGTCAAGAAACTGCTTGGGAATGTTGAGAATCCCGAAGAAGAGGAGATTGAGTCCCTCTGCAAGCTTTTGACTACTGTTGGGCAGTTGTTGGATACATCGAAGGCCCGGGCTCATATGGATGTTTACTTTTCGCGCATGAAGGAGCTTACGAAGAGCCTTAATGTCAGCTCGCGTATGCAATTCATGTTACGAGTAAGTTTCATCATGTTTACGATTGCTTTTCTGACTAGCCGTGATTAGGATGTTCTCGAGCTGCGTGAGCGGAAATGGATCAGCCGTAATGCTGTTGCCGCGCCTACTACAATCGCTCAGATACACGAAGCAGTAAGTGTCTTTTTACTCTCAGTCCGGGCATCGCCATCTGATCACATTTCAAAGGCCGCGAAGGAGAAAGCCGCTCAAGCACAGGAATCATATCAACGTCAAATGTCAATGTCTCGCGGTGGATCCCGACGGGGTGGAGAACGAGGCGAAATTCCTCAAGTTGGTCCCGATGGTTGGGCAGTTGCTGGCGGTAACTCTGCTCCACGGCCGCAGCCCAAGGCTGGCGATCTGTCCAAGTTTGGTCAGATCAGCAGCAAGGGCGCTCCTCTCACCTTTGGTCCTCAGAGCAGCATCTACGCCGGAAAGAAAGACAAGCGAGAGTTTGTCCAGCGAACGAATTTTTCTTCGAACATGTTCTCCATGCTTAATAATGATTCTACCCCAGAAGCCACGCCCAAAGGTAAAAATTTCCCTCCTTGCCAGAGCTGTCGATCTGACTTTCTTTGATCTAGAAATGGTTCAACGGAAACGACTTATCCTTGCGCCTCGGTCGAAGCCAGTCGAGGGCCAGGAGAACGCACCGACAACTGCAGAGTCCGAGAGTAGCTCAGACGAAGAAGTTACCGCCGAACCTGAGCCTGTCGAGATGAGCGACAAAGATGCCAAGAAGAAGATCGAAGAAGACATCAAGGAGTTTAGCGCTGTTCGGAATCTCGATGAAGCGGAATTTTACTTTACACAACTTCCTGCTAAACACCATCCTCTCTTGGTTGAAAAGCTGATTTCATTTGCTGTCGAGTCGAAAGAAGCAGACGCACAGTTGGTGTCCCAGTTCTTCTCCCGTGCCTCGACCAAGAACCTGTGTACAATTACTGATTTCGAGAGCGGGTTTACTGCAGTGGTCGAGTTCCTGGATGACATTGCGATTGATGCACCGATGGCGTTCAAGCTGATGGCAACCATGATGAAAGGCCCGGCCTTTGATGATGAGCAACGGACACGCTTAGCCTCAAAGACGGACAGTGTCAAACTTCTTGAGCTTCTATCTTAGACTCGCTGATTTCGCCTTGCATCTCGTACTGTATCCGTTGTCTCCGAGTCAGTTTTGCACTTTACACTTAAAAGGTTGCGGTAGAGGCTGGTTTATGATAGCATCTGTCTGCAGCTTACAGAATGGTCATTATCTTATCCGTGGAATGTCCTTGATAATTATTCTCTTCAATCCATTCCGCCCTCCTTGCTTTGAGGACTGCCGGTACAGCGATAGGATGAGAAGGGGGATTACTCGACCGAGATAATGTCAGTCACTGCTAGACTCTGGTACAATGGATTGGACAACGCACGAGAAAGAATAGGTCACCGCCAGAGAGATGGTACTCGTCATAATGTCTGAGGGCAACATGGAAGGAAGAAAGGCTTCTGAGAACTCGAGACGGTGCTTTTGAATCCGTCTACACGTGTATGGCACATGCCTTTTGGCAATGAGAATATCTCGCGGTGATTGCAGAATATGATGGAAACGTTGATATATGCGACTTGGAAAATGTTACGCGTAGATACAAAAAATGACAACAAGTGAAAACCATACAACCAAGACCCAGTCGGACGCGGCGAAGGCTCAGAGACGTGAGTGACAAAGTTCACCACACCCCAACTGTCGATCCCGTACCCTAACCCTTCCTCCCTCTCGAGCTCGACAAAAAACGCTTCATCCGAACCGTGAATTTTTTTCTAAGAGTCTGAGAACCCACAGACAACGCGTCTGTCAGTATTAATTCAGGAAAGCAGGAAAAAGCCCAACACAACAATACAAACTCACCATCATCATCTCTCGGCGTAGGCAACGGACGATCAAGGTCGCCCACCACCGAACCCGCCGTTCGCAAATCCATTTGTCTTCCTCGCCGGCGAGGAGCCTTGAGGATCGGTATTCGATCCTGTGGGGCACGCCGAAATGAGTAAGTAAAAGTACGACAGAACACGTTGATGATCACCCATCCACCTGATGCACGTTTCGTATCGCTTCCCCACACCTCGTCGATGACTTTCATTACGTTCGTGAGGTCGACGCCGTTCGGCAGGGGGCTCTTCAGCCCGTCGAGAGAAGAGGAGCGGAGGCGCTCGCGGGCGTGGAAGATCCGGACGACAGTCTCAACGCCTAAGCGCACTGACTCTTCTGTGGTGAGAGGTTCGTCGCGGGAACAGAGTCTGGCGTAGAATGGTGCCAAGACGGTGGGATCGACGTTGTAATCCTGGTACAGGACGATGCGGTCCACCAAGTTGATAGTCTTGCACTCGAGTTCTCTAATAGCGAGAGCCTTGACTTCGGGGAATGACCATAAGCAGGACGTGTGGAGAATGGCGACCCAGACGTTTGTAGAGGCGTCGTATAGAGAATGCTTCCTGATCAGAAAATAAGCCTCCTTCTCGGAACTGACGGAGTGTAGGACTCACGGATTATAGAACACCCAAAGAAAGTGGGCGAAATTTTCCGCCGTAATGTCGTCTAGTCTAAACGCAGTACTGGGGGAGGACCCTTCAGGCTCCTTGCCCGGCGGCGTCGGGTTACTGAACATCGAGCGAAACTTGGATGGCTCTCTCTCAAAGAAGTATCGGTGGACCCTAAACATGGATTCTTCGACCTAGGTAGGCTTTAGTGAGTACGCGTACACCCTTTTGATAGCCAAAACCCACCAGAAAATACACATCTCCTCCCTTTATGTAGTACTGTTCATGTTTTTTGATTCGTGTGAGTGAAGACGGCGATCCAGACATTAAAGCAGCGATACAAGGGGACGGAAGGGAAGTACGAAATAAATGATAATCACTCAACCCTCTGATGGTTTATATATACCCTCGTGAGTAGGCGCCTCGAGTCTCCTCCTGATGCATCGTGTCGTTGTCGCCTCAACTGTAGGCGAGCATGCTCATACACGGAAGCTTAGATTGCCTTGTCCTCGCGGTTTACGATACACGTCATCCCCACACGTTGCGTACGCGTGTATCCCTGCAGGAATCAATGGATATTGAAAACAGGTATCAGATGCCTAACGCAGACTTACCAGTTTGCTAGTCAGCATTGCGCATGACCGAGGGTACCAAGCTAATTAGATCTGATACTAGGCAGTGCTGCCCTCGAGGTTCTGAGCCAAAAGAAGCGTGTTGTCTCTTCCGGTATTGATCCTCAGGCAGGCCTGACCGACGGAGCGTCTGTGGAAGTCTAATGTGCTGCCTCGAGGTGGTCCGCTATCAATCAAAACGGAAAACGGAGTGTGAAGAGTCGAAAGTCCTATGTAGTCGGCTGCACGGATCCAGGAAGGCGATGCATCGCTAGAACGTCTCTGTGGCCGTCAACGATTCAGCTCGCGTCTTGGACGCAGAAGACAGATCACCGATAATCGATGGTGCCATTGTCTGAGTCCACGCTATTGTTGTCCTGGGCGCTTAACCAAGGTTCTCGGACTTCTGAAGTCGAAGCTAAAGAGAATAAGCGCGAATGGAAAGGTAAATTAGGCATCTAAGACGTACCTTGATCGTTCTTCCATTCCCCTCTTAGGACTTCATATTACTCCAGTTTCTTGTTCGATGGGTCTTGGCCGGAAAACGTGGAACGAAAACAAAGAGCTCGGTTG